GGGGGGGGGGGGGTAGGAGGTGTTAGGACATTTAAATATTAAAGGGTGAGTGAGTTCTGAACCGTTAGATCTATTGAAGATCAATGGCTAGGATTTAGGAGGAGGGAAAATGGGGTCGTTTGGGGTTATTATGGGGCTGGACCGATTTTGACTTAGCTGGGCAGATTTTGGGTATTTTCGGAGTAATTGGACCATTTAAAATTGGCCCAGTCTAGTTTTAAAGAAACAAAAACCCTTTTCATTTTATTTGTTTATCTTTCTCTTCTTTGATTTAAAATCTAATTAAATTAAATAAAATCCTAAATTAAGTCCTAAATCATTCTAATTTATAAATTTAAGCTAATTATCCATTTATACTATTTACATAGTGAAAGAAAATTACTTATTTAACACTAAAAGCTAAAAATGTAAAAATAAACATTATTTTAGTGATTTTTGTTTTAATAAACAATTAATTAACGTCTTACCTTAAAAATGCAAATAACAACCTAAAATGCAATGCATGAAATTTTGAATATTTTTAGTGTATTTTTCATGATTTTAAAATATTAAATGTGCACAAAAATGCAACTAAATGCAAAACAATTAACAAGAAAACTATAAAAATGAAAACAATTTAGAAAACCCTATTTTTTAAAATATTTTGTAGGAGTATTTCTAGGCGGGCAAAAATCACGTGCTCACAGTGGAACCAAGATCAAATATTACCAAAGACTCCCTGTGGCATACCGAAACAATACTTGTGATCACGGCATCAGAGACAACTACTTCTGGCTTGGCTGGAGATGCGTAGCAACTGGCCTGACAACACCTCATCGACCTCCCCTTCGGCGATGCGGATGGTATAGCTTCTAGTGCTAAACTCATAGATTGAGAGCTTTATTGTGGAACCCTACCCTATAGTGTGGGGAAATATCTCTTGAGATGACTCAAGTCCCCGCACTCAAAATAACCTATCCTCTAACAGAGCTGCTGACCTTCATAATCAGGCGTGGTAAGAACTCTATGACGACAACACAAAGAATGATGACTGAGTTAGGCGTGCACTATAGGAACTGTAGCTAACTGAAGAACTACGAGGAACATGGCGAAGTTCCTAAACGGGTCTAGAAGGACAACCTTTGCTGTAATGGAACTGGCCTCTAGATGAGGCACTATTGAAACAACCTGGACTATGAGGCCTCTTGGCCTCACGCTCCTCACTTACCTTCCTACAAACCATCTCTAAGCATTTATCAATCTCTACCACCTGGTCAAACCTAGCATCCGTCGCAACCTTCTGAGCTATACTAAAACGTAAACCATAGTTGAGGCCATTAATGAACCTCCTAATCTTTCCCCTCTTAGTGGGAACCAACAATACTTTATGACGAGCCAAATCTGCGAACATTGTCTCGTACTGAGTCACTATCATATCCTCCTAGCATAGATGCTCAAACTACCTACGCAACTCCTCTTTGCGAGTATGTAGGACAAACTTCTCTAAGAAGAGAATTTAGAACTCATGCCATGTGAGTGGCACTGCATCGGATTGTCTGCTTAACTCATTAGTTTGCCATCATCTATAAGCTACCCCCTGTAAGCTAAAAAGTAGTAAATGCAACCTCACTTGTATCTAAAATACTTGTTGATCTGCTGAAACTTATCTAGAAAATCCTACACATCCTCTGACTCTACCACACTAAACTCTGGGGGCTTAAGCTTTCAAAACCACTCTAATCTCTTCTTATCCTCATCACTCACAAGTAGACCAACCTCGGCCCAAGCAGCGACAACCGGCTAAACTGGCAATACACCCGATGTCTGGTGACCCTGGGCTAGCCGCTTTGGTGTAAGGGCAACCGAGTTTGGCCACCTCCCCCAGCCTATGAAGTGGCTAGTGTAGCTAGAACCGAAACCGCCTGAGCCAGGCTCGTACATATAGTCAAAATCTAGGATAAGGCCTCTTAAAGGCCAGAAATAACGATGGGCACTATTGGTGCCTGACTTAGTACCACCAGCTCAACAACATCTGGTGTCTGATCCTCAGTTAGAGCAACTGGTGGCTCCACATGTGCTGTTCTGGATGTAGTACAAGTTGTACCTTGGCCCCTATCGCAGCCTAACTCGTGGTATTGGTGGCCGTCTGGTTGATCCGGCCGCACGTGTCCTCACCATCTGTGAGAATAAAATCGTCAAGTTTCAAACTTTAGAAATAACAAATCCCACGACAAGAATGCAAGAAAGTAAAGTTTTCTAACAACTCGATAGACTCTCGAAGATAAGTACAGACGTCTCTGAACCTATTCGCGAGACTCTACTAAATTTGCTTATGACTTGTAATATATATGAACCTAGGCTCTGATACCAACTTTTCACGACCAAAAAATCTCAACCCGTCATGCTAGTGCCTAACACACTTGCCAGGCAAGTCGGACATAACAATAAAGAACCAAAACAACGGAATTTGTTGAAATAAAATAAATTTGGAATCTCATTATAACAAAATACCTCTAATACATGATAAATTCTCCAGAAACTGGTAAATACAGATTCATGAGCTCTAATGCTGAAATACAAGTCTTAAATGACCAACAACGTTACTATCCGAAATAAAGATAAAAGTACATAAGAAAAGATAAGCAAAGACTGTTGTCACACCTCCTTTTTCCTACCACCAGAAGGGGTGTAAGGGAGTTTTTCCAATTTAAGTAACAATCAAAATGGGATTATTTAATTAAAAATCAGAGTCGCCACTTGGGATAATTTATGGTGTCCCAAGTCACTGGTTCAAGTCTCGTATCGAGGAAAGATTGACTCTGTTTTACAGTCCGCGAACACAAAAATCCGGGTAAGGAATTCTGTTAACTCGAGAGAAGGTGTTAGGCATTCCTGGGTTTCGTGATTTTAGCACGGTTGCTCGACTATTATTATTGACCAATTTAATTGATTTAAAATATCTTTGAAACATATGTGCATTTTTATTCCTTTTAAACCGCTTTTAATAATCCATTGTTATAAAACTAATTATTTGATTACACGTTGCGAATCATGTCACAGGAGCCATACCCACGATCCACAACATGTTGATTTTATTAACAAGATTAAATTGTGGCAAGGTCACATAAATGTACCCCCTGGATTTTAGAATTTAAGTGTCACAACCACGTCACGGGAACCGTACCCGTAGCTATGACAATTTATTTTATTAATGTGCCTAAAGAAAACTATGAGATTTCAAGGCATTTTTTACACTAATTAAGATATCGATCTGAGGGCCAATGACTAGGTGATTGTACGGCACACCTCAATTTTATTAAAGAAAAAGCATTCAACTTAGCAGACTACGGATATTCATTTTTTAAAACTAATTTGAAATTAAGTATCACAACTACACCACGGGAATCATACCCGTAGTTGTAATGATTTAATAATGTGCATAAAGTTTTCTTACCCAGGTGTGATCGGCCTAAACATACCACTAGCGAACCCAGAATGAATTAAAGATAAAATGATAATACTGCCTCGAGCCTAAACCCCTCAGTTCATCTTAATCCCAAACCCACATGTCCAACATCGCTTTAAAGAATTTGACCGAAACTCATTTTTAATCAACCCCACGATTCAAAACAATTCACTGTTTTCCAATCCATTCAACCTAGTTCTTTCATGTATCCATTTAATTGGACATATCTTATAAGATAAAATTCAAAAAGAAAAACAAAATAAAAATGACGTTAACCAAGATTAAACAAATTGTAAGAAGATTCAAATTGGTTGAAACAAAGAATTATATCCATTGATTAATAAAAGAGATGAAAATTGACGGACCTCAATAATTAACTCCTTAGTATTAACGAGAACTAGTTACGGCAAAATTCGGCGAATTAAATCTGATTAAAAAGGAAACAGCAACAGGAGATTGACCCGCAGACCATGAAGATTACCTAGAACAGCATCGACGGATTGAACTTCATCGGAAAATCAAATAATTGGCGAGATCCGAAATTTGAACTCGACTCAGATTCGGAAATCTGAAACTTTAAGCTCGTTGAACTCTTGATCTGAAATGGTATCAGAAAAGTGTTTTGTGGCTAGTTTTTACACGGTTGTGGATGGAAAATCTTAAAGGTTTTATGGGTTAAAGAAAAAAAACAATTGAAGAAGTGAAAGAGGCGATCCTCAAGGTGACAAAGTAGCTGCCATGATGAAGATAAGATGAATGGTTTCTTCAAAAATCCTTCTGTTTCGTGACCTTGTTTCTCCGTCACTCCGACATCCAAAATGGGGGGGAGGGTTCTCTGTGTTCACGGGCTGAAAAGTCTTAAAGGGTATCGTTGGTTTTTGTGTGTGCGCGTGTATTCAGAGTGAAGAAGAAGCAAAATCAGATGAGGGAAATGGCTAAGGTCTGTTGAAGAAGATGAGCGGAAGCTCTTGTGTATTCTCTCTAACGGTTGATCCCTATTTTTAGGTCTAGGATTGTTTTTTAAGCTTTTTTCTAAGGTTTTAGGGTTATTGGGCTTGGGTTGTTATGGGCTAGGTTCGAAAATTAGGCCTAAAAATGGGTTGTTTGAGCCCAAATTTTATTCTTTCTTCGTGAAAAAGACTAAAATACTACCTTATTTATTAATTAATCCTACTTAAATAAAAATAAGACTAACCGTTAAAACAAACCTATTTTTGGTATTTTTTCAAGATTAAAAATGACTACAAAACATTAATGAAACTATTTTTGTAATTTTTATTTTTTATGATAAAATAAAGTAAAAGAGTCAAAACTAGTTGAAATAGCTATATTAGACCTAAACTAAATATTTATATACTAAAATATGTAAAATTTTGGGGAGGGTCAAAAATCACATGTCTACACCTGCCCCTCTTTGACTGGAAATGCGATGAGTTTTCAGACAAAGAATGACGAGATAGGTTTTTCGACCCGGCCCTTATTTAGGGAGACCAAAAAATAAGAGGAAAGAGAATGTGACTGAGCCCTGGTATTTGAGATGCTTACATATCCTTGGCTATAAAGGAATCAGGCCACCTGTAGTTCAGAAGTGAATGAGGTGATGGAGTATACTGAGGTGGAGAGCCGGTCGAGGTGCACTCTGTCGAGGTTCCGGTCTGCGGTCCTGTTATTACATAAAAATCAAAAAATGAAAAAGACTAACTAAGCCTGTCAACTATGAGTTACAAGATTTCTATCTATAAGTCTTCTGAAGCTTGATCTTGAGTCTTGAATGGTTCTTCATGCAGACTTTAGATTTGAACCTTGAAGCTTGCTAGCTGCATGTGCTAGTTCAATCTTCTTCGGATGAAAACCAGACAAGCAATGCTCGTGATTTCAGCCATGTCTTGAGCAGTTCACATCTTTCTCTACTTCTGCATTTTAGATTCACTTCTTTTTTTTTCTTTTTTTTCTGGATTTTGACTAATTTCTGTTGATCATCTCGAATAGTTGACTCGCATTCTTGCCGTGAGCTTTTGCTACTTCTAACTTGAATTGAATTCTAAAATGACTTCCCTTGTTCCCTTGTTCTTCAGGTAGGCGCCTGATTGCTAAAACTTGAACTATATTCTCTTGTTCTCCAGGTAGGCTCCTAATTGCCAAAACTTGAACTGTATTCCCTTATTCTCCAGGTGGGCACCTGATTGCCAAAACTTGAACTGTATTCCCTTATTCTCCAGGTGGGCACCTGATTGCCAAAACTTGAATTGTATTCCCTTGTTCTCCATGTGGGTGCCTCATTGCCAAAACTTGAAATGTATTCCCTTGTTCTCCAGGTGGGCTCCTGATTGCCAAAACTTGAACTATATTCCCTTGTTCTCCATGTGGGTGCCTCATTGCAAAAACTTGAATTGTATTCCCTTATTCTCCATGTGGGCGCCTGATTGCCAAAACTCAAACTATATTCCCTTATTCTCTAGCTGGGCGCCTGATTGCCAAAACTTGAATTGTATTCCCTTGTTCTGTAGGTGGGAGCCTTATTGCCAAATCTCGAACAATATTCCCTTGCTCGAACTGTATACCCTTGTTCTCCAGATGGGCGCCTGATTGCCAAAACTCGAACTGTATTCCCTTGTTCTCCAGGTGGGCGCCTGATTGCCAAAACTCAAACTGTATTCCCTTGTTCACCAGTTGGGCGCTTGATTGTTAAAACTTGAGTTGTATTCCCTTATTCTATAGGTGGGCGCCTGATTGCCCAAACTTGAACTGTATTCCTTTATTCTTTAGGTGGGCTCCTGATTGCCAAAACTTGAATTGTATTCCCTTGTACTCCAAGTGGGCGCTTGATTGACAAAACTGGAACTGTATTCCCTTGTTCTCCAGGTGGGTGCCTATTTTCCAAAACTTGAATTGTATTCCCTTGTTCTCCAGGTGGGCGCCTGATTGCCAAAACTTGAATTGTATTCCCTTGTTCTCCAGGTGGGCGCCTGATTGCCAAAACTTGAACTGTATTCCTGTGTTTTCCAGGTGGGCGCTTGATTGTCAAAACATGAACTGTATTCCTTTGTTCTCTAGGTGGGTGCCTAATTGCCAAAACTTGAATTGTATTCCCCTATTCTCCAGGTAAGCGCCTGATTGCCGAAACTTGAACTGTATTCCATTGTTCTCCAGGTGGGCGCCTAATTTCCAAAACTTGAAACTATATTCCCTTGTTCTCCAGGTGGGTTCCTGATTACCAGAACTTGAACCTTATTCCATTGTTCTCTAGGTGGGTGCCTGATTACTAAAAACTTGAATTGTATTCCCTTGTTCTCCAGGTGGGCGCCTGATTACAACAAAACAGACAAACAAAGAAACCTTTCTGCCCTAGTTTGGTATCTGGGCACATTTGTGAGTGTTAATTGAATCATGTTACCCAAATCTCTAAGAATTTAAAACTAAAATCTCATTATCCAGGAGGATCCTGAAAATTTCAAATTGAATCTCATCTTAAGAGTCAAAGCTTTAAAGTCAACTTATATTTCCAAAAGGTAGAGCTTATGCTAAATCTTGTTATCTATGAAGGTTTTGGAATTCAACTAAGTCCCATTATCCAGGAGGGTCCTGTAAACTTTTAAAATTAAATCCCATTATCCAGGAGGGTCCTGAAAATTTTAAACTAAATACCATTATCTAGGAGGGTCCTAAAAATTTCAAAACTAAATCCCATTATCTAGGAGTGTCCTGAACAACCGAGAATAAACTTACGTGAGCCATGCTCTCTTCCTGAAGGATCTCTGCAAAACGAACAAACTTCCTTGCCCCTTAACCATGCTTTTCCTCATTGAGGGTTCCTAAAGTTTGAATAAATTTTTCTTTCCCCTTTTCAAATCGCCTTTGTGCTGACAAAATTTGGGCACGACACTTGAAAAACTCAAGCTTCCAAACTTTGATTTGGACATAGTCTTCGTCCCTGTTTCAATCAAAGAAAACTTGTGAGTTTAAATATGGTGGTTGGTTTGTGGCCTTGACTCTTCGGGCGATTGCTCCTTCATTTCCCATGATAACTTTGATTTCAACTTGAAAGACCTTGCTTGTTTATTGACTAACCACTTTCTTTGTCACCCTTATCACAGAAAATACCTCTGATTCGTTAAAACCTATGTCCTATATATGTTGTATTGTGCTCAAGAATTGTCATGTACCGACCCTTTGTGTTTCACATAAATCCCAAAGCACGTCAATTGCCACCTTCTCAGTGCGCTTGCTATTCTTTCCTGACGTATGCCACTAGCCTTGGCCTTGAGGTCTATTGCTCTTTCACTTGCCATGATAACTTTGAATTCCACTTGGAAGACCTTGCTTGTTATTGGTTAACCACTTTCTCTGTCAACCTTATCACAAAAAATACCTTTAATCCGTTAAAACCCAACATCCTCTATCTGTTGCATTATTCATGAATTGACATATATTGAACCTTTGTGCTTCACATGAATCCCAAAACACGTTCATTTTTACCAACTCAGTGCACTTGCTGTTCTTTCCTGACGTATGCCACTTTGATGTGCTAGCAAGATCCCGTTTTGTGCAAGTGGAAAGCTGGTGGCAAATTTTTTAAGTCATTTCTCACTTGTTCTAACCAAACAGACTCAGTAAGAGGAAGTAAACAAGACAGAAGGAACAGAGTAAAGGACAATGGAAAGAGATGATTCCTAACAAAAAAACTACAAAGTAGAAACTTATCAGATGTGGATACCAACTCTAATGACTGTGACATGCACCTTTAGAATAAGTGGCCTAATTTGTCAAGCAAGTCTAATGTTCAACTCTTGTTGTACCTCTTCGCCATGAAACTGGGTTTCAATGCTCCGATTATCCTATCTGATTCACGATCCTTATTCGACTTGTAGTGCCCGAATGGTTTTCACCATCAAGCCTCTCGCATTTTGTTATTTCTCTCAACTCACCATCGCCTTATGGTTCCTGTTAAGGTTTTCACCAATAAGACTCTCGTATTTTGTTGTTTTCTTCTTATTTCCTCTGATTCTGCAGATGACAAAGCATTGACCACGATAGAAATATCATATGCTCCTGTCATGTCTGACTCGGCACTCTCAAAAATTATCTGAAAGGTCTTTTTTGGACTGTAATGTGGCTTTTAGACAAGGTTAGAAAGAATGAATATCATAAAAGATCAAAATAATTAAGACAACGGGGTTAATTTATTTACAACTTTTGGAATATATTCTAATAACTTTTCCCCAATTTCTACAACAAGCGAATTTGATACTTTTTTTTGTTTTCTTTTCGAGATGGAATTTCTAAGAAAACTGCCCCACTCTTAACTTTGTGGGATTATGAAATAATTTATTTGGTGCGACCGAACCGTGAGACTGCATACGTATCTTGTGGTGATAAGAATCAAGTCAAACGTAGTTCACAAGACTACCTTTGTTACTATTTTCCTTTTTTTTCCTTTTTTTTCTTTTTCTCCTTTTTTTTCTTTATCTCTATTTTTCTCTTTTTTTTTTAATTTCCCTTTGGAATGAACTTTATAAAATAAACCTATGGGGTCATGAACTCTTTTTTTCTTTTCGTATGACTCTAACTTGATTCCAAAAGAGGGCAAATCAAAGAAATAAGTACATGCTCAAAAGGGTATCGAATGGTATAAGTGTTTGGGTAGCTGAAAGAGGGCCTCCCAATCCCTGAAAATGCCAAGTACAACACATGCAACTTGAAATGAAAAAGGAAGAGTACACACAACATTTCTTTTATAGTTTCGGCATTGATATCACTGATATGCTTTCCACTGTTTGTTAGTGCTTTGTCAAATACAGAACTCTCATTGGGTAATTTCTTCTTCACATTGGATACTCTCCATCTGTTCGGAGCAAACCTCCTTGGCTTTATCTCGTTACTTGAGATGCACTTGAACTCAAAGTTGCTTGCTTCAAATTGTCTGGGATGCACTCTCTTGTAACAAATTCTTGTCATCCTATTAACTTCCCAAATTATCTGCCCCAGTTTCACACAGTTCAGGCTTTAAATGATCTCAAAATTTCTAAATTTGTACTTATTTCCCTCAAACATTCCTATCATCTTCAA